ATGCCTAGCATTTTTATGTGGGTTCTGTGGATTGAATTCAGGTTCTCATGCTTGCCAAGCAAGCACTTTACCAAGTGAAATGTCTCCCCAGCCACTTAAGACTGGGCCTCTTGTCCCATTTCTTTTCTAGGCCTGGGAGAGCTTAGAACCAGGACAACTGGGGCTGGAGAGATGGCTCAGTGATTAAGAGCACTGGCTGCTCTTGCAGAAGACCTGGGTTTGGCTCCCAGTACCCACACATGGTGGCTAACAGTTGTCTGTAACTCCAGTTCTAGGGAATCCCTGGGCAAGCTGGTTCTGTAAACTAGCTAAATTGTTGAGCTCCAAGTTCAGCTACACACCCTGTCTCAGGAAATTAGGTAGAGAGTGATCAAGCCAGGAAGTCCCTTTGTAAAGGGACTTACCACACAAGCCTGGCAACCTGAGTTTGATGCCTAGAACCCATGTAAAGTTAGAAGGAGAGAACTGACTCCACAAAGTTGTCCTCTGACCTCCACAGGTGACCTCCACTGTTGCAATACTCCCACCATATGCTCCACACACAATAATAATAAATATTTTTAAAATTTATTTATTATTTCAATTTTATGTCTGAGTGTTTTGCCTGCATATAAGTGTGCCCATGTCATTGCAGTACCCTCAGAAGCTACAAGAGGGCATCAGATCCCCTGGAACTGGAGTTAGGGTTGGTTGTTAGCAGCCATGTAGGTGCTGGGAATCAAACCTGGGATCTCTGCAAGAGAAGCCAGTGCTCTTAACTGCTGAGCCATCACACCAGTCACTAAATCATTTTTTTAAAGGAGAGGGTGTAGGCAAGATGATTCATTGGGTAAAGGTGCCTGCCACCAAGCCTGTTGACCTGAGTGTGATCCTCAGACCCCACACAATGGAAGGATAACTGATTCTCACAAGTTGTTCTCTGACCTACTTTTTTTTTCACCACACACACACACACACACACACACACACACACACACGCACGCACACACACACATGCAAAAAATAAAATAAACAAATAAATAAAACAAAACAAAAAACAGAAGCTGAGGCTGTGGCTCAGTTGGTAGAGTGCTTGCCTGGCATGCGCAAAAGCCCTGGGTTCCATTCCCACCACCACATAAACCAGGCATGATGGCATACCCTGTAATTCCAGCACTCAGGAGGTAGAGGCAGGAGGATTAGAAGTTAAAGATCATTTTCGGCTACACAGTGAGTTAGAGACCAGCCTGAGTGACATGAGACCCCCCATCTCAAAAAAAAAAAAAATCTGAACCTGGACTGGAAAGATGGCTCAGTGGTTAAGAGCACTGGCTTCTCTTGCAGATAGTCTGGGTTCGGTTCCCAGCACCCACATGGCAGCTAATAACTGACAGTCTCATGGGATCTGACGCCATCTTCTGGCCTCTATAGACATTGCATGCACAGATGCACTTACATACAGGCAAAGCACTCATTCACATAAAATAAATAAAAATAAATAAATAATAAAAAATATGTGAACTGCCCTTCAAGCTTTGAGTCCACCTGTTTTTCCTCCCCAACTTTGAACTGGGCTAATCCTTCTTTCTGTCTCTGGCTCTGCCCCTCCTATCTCCTCTAGTATTAGACTCCAGCAAGTCCATCGGTTCTTTGAGACTTGCTGTATCCACTAGTTCATCTATCTGTTTTGTTTCTGTTTTTATACCCAGTCGTTAAGTAGGAGTAATTGTACCTCTTTGCAGGATTGATATGAGGAGACACTCCAAAGGGCATCCCAGGGCAGTCTTGATATGGCTATTCCAACACAGCCACGGCCCTACAGGCCAGGACATATTTAATGCCAGCTGCAAGACAGGTGGGATCTCAGCCAGCCTGATCCTCTAGGCTCTGCCATGGGAAGGTGAAGGCATCCAGGAGACTCTTGGAGGAGAGGTGTCCTATGCCAGGCAGGATCATAGAAGGGACCTGAACAGCCTTGGCCAGTGGGTGGATGGGTGGGGATGCCAGGCAGTGCCCTGATGGATGGGCCCAGACCCGTACTGCCAGCTGGACTAGCTCGATTTCTTCTGCATGTGTTTATTTTCAGGTTGGCCCCCTTCCAGGACCTGCCCTGGCTTCATTCCTGCTCCAGGTGTGGGAGCTCAGCAGGGGCAACATGAGAGAAGAGCTAGTACATCAAGAACCTGAGTGACTGGGGTGTTGAGGGGGTGAGGGGGGATAGGGTGTGTCAGATGGGTCTTCACAGAAAATGCTCCTCCTATAGACCCTGGGAAAACAGAGCTGTAGATTTAGGATGGAATGTAGGTGGGTGTGTTTTGCTACAAGCCTGGGGCTCTGGGACCTTGTAGGTAAAACTTGGTTGTTTTCTCTTGTTTTGTTTGAGACAGGGTCTCACCATGTAGCTCTAACTGGCCTGGAACTCTTTACGTAGACCCAGCCCAGCTTCCCCTGGTTTTTCTTTTTCTTTCTTCTTCTTTTTAATTAAAAAAAATTTTTTTTGGTCTTTTTTGGGACAGGGTCTTTCTATAGCCCTGGCTGGCCTAGAACTCGATATATAGACCAGGCTGGCCTTGAACTCACAGAGAGCCGCCTGCCTCTGCCTCCAGAGTGCTGGGATTAAAGGTGTGCACCACCACACCCGGCTTCTCTTTTTCCATTTGTGTGTGTGTGTGCCTGTGTGGCATCCATGTGTGTATGCATGTTTTCATGTATGTGTGGGTACATGTACACAAGTGTGGGAGGCCCAAGGCTGAGGATGGGAATCATGTCTTGATCACCCTTCCACCTTATTCATTGAGACAAGATCTCTCAGTCAAGCCCAGAGCTCTTGGATGTGGCTAGTCTCTCCAGCCAGTTTGTTCCAGCAGTCCCATCTCTGCCTTCTAAGGCTGCAAACACAGGTGGGCACAAGTGTTTGAGTTCTAGGGATCTCTGACTCTGGTCCTCACACAAGCACTTAGCTGCTGAGCCATCTCCCCAGTCTTTTTTTTTTTTTCTTAAGATTCTTTTAAAAATATTAATTAGTTAACTAAGGTAAATGAAAGTTTTGTGAATGTTTTGCTTGCATGTATCTAAGTATACCACATGTACATGCAATGACTGTGGAGGCCAGAAGAGGGCATTAGATCTCCTGGAACTGGAGTTACAGACAGTTATGAGCCGCCATTTGAGTGTTGGGAACCAAACCCAGGTCCTCTACGAGAGCAGCCAGTGCTCTTAACTGTTGAGCATCTCTCCAGCCCCAACATTGAGCTCTTGATTCTCCTGTCTAGAATTACAATGTTGGGATTTACAGGCATATACCACTGTGCCTACTTTTATGTGATACTATGGATCAAACCCAGGGTTTCATGCATGCCTTGGCAAGCATGCTACTGACTGAGCTACAATCATTTATTTATTTATTGTGTGTGCATGTGTGTGGTGTGGATACAAATATGTCACGGTGGAGGTCAGAGGACAATTTACAGGAGTCAGTTTTCTCCTTCCATCTTGTGGGATTCAGGGTAGTGAACTCATGGTGTCAGGCTGAGCCATCTTGTGAGCCCTGGTTTTGCTTTTTAGAGACAGAATCTTGTCCAGGCTAACCTGGACTGCTACATCCTTGTGCCTCTGCCTCCTTAGTACTAGGATTATAGATTTGCACCACCACAACCAGTTTATCCAGGGGGTTCTTGTGGGATTTAGATCCCACCCTGGGCCTCCAGGAGGATGGTGGATAGGGTGAGGTGGACAAGGGAGTGACTGAGAATCCTGTAAGTGCTCCAACCTAGGCCAGTCAAGGCAGGCTCTCTGTCAGGATCATTGTCAATCTTGACCAAAACCTAGACCACATCCTTCATTCTCAACCCAGAGCTAGGAGCCCAGGTGTTATTCTGCAGGCACCAGTATGAGAGAATGGGGGCTTGATTAGGCCAACCTCAGAAAGCTGCCTGGAATTGTCATATACCCCTGGACCTTCTGTATGATCTCCCTACCTCACACCTGACCCTTCGAGGTTGTTTATTGGTTGTACTGTTTTTTTCTTTAAAGTATTTTATTATTTTTATTTTATGTATAAGCGTATTGCCTGCATGTATGTGAGTGCACCTGTGTCATGCAATGCTGCAGATGTCAGAAGAGGGCTTCGGATTCCCCTGGAACTGGAGTTAAGGACGGTTCGTAGCCACCATGTGGGTGCTGGGAATCGAACCTGGGTTAAGAGCAGTCAGTGCTCTTAACCGCTGAGCCATCGCTCCAGCCCCAGTTGTACTGTTTTTTTAAAGATTTATTTTTTATTAATTTGTGTATGTGAATGTAGTGCCCACAGAGGCCCGGTAGCCTGAGTTACAGACAGGTGTGAGCCACCTGATATGGGTATTGGGAAACAAACTCAGGTCCTCTGCAAGAACAGCAAGTATTTTTAACTGCTGAGCCATTTCTCCAGACCCTTGCCTATTTTTTTTTATAGTATTCATTTTCATTTATTTACTTTATTTTGATAGGGTCACAGCAGCTCTGGCGGGTTTCAAACTGCCTAGGTGGCCAGGGCTGGCCTTGAATTCCTGATCCTCTTGCCTCCACTTCTGGAGTGCAGGACTTATAGACATGCACCACCACACCCAGTTCATTGAGTGCTGCAGAAGAAACCCTTGCTATGGAGGCAAGCACTCCAGCAATTGGGCTACATCCACAACTCCTATTGTTTTCTGAGACAGTGAATATGTAGCCCAGTCTGGCCTGGAACTCACTATGTGGCTCAAGCTGGCCTCAAATTTGCCATTTTCCCGTGTCAGCTTTGGAAAGCTGGAATTACAGGCATGTACCACCGAACTCAGTGTGCACCTGAACAGACACACACACACACACACACACACACACACATACACACATGCATGCAAAACCTCCATGTGAGGCTGTAGGACAGGGCTGTGTCCCCAGCGCCCAGGAAGGGGTTGACCTTTAGCAAAGACACTAATACATGCTTCCATTTAGAGCACTTAACCCTAGTCTGCGTAAACACTGAGGTCTGAGCCAGTGGCAAACAGTTGATTCCAACTTTTATTTGAGAAAAACAGAAAGTATATGTATCAAAAGAGCATACAGATTGACAGAGGGGGATGACTAATGATGGCTAACTAGGATGGGCAGCAAGCAGATGACTTCTACTGGGTTGCAGACTGTTCTGATTTCCCAGCTTCCGGGCCACCAATCTGGGCACGGGCCTCGAAGGTGACAGGAATAGTGATCTCCGCTGATTGTGTGGCTGGCTTGGGCAGCGGGGCCTCCACGGTAAGTGTGCCCTCAGGGGACAGGGAAGAGGAGACCAGGGTGGGGTCCACACCGGGAGGCAGCCTGGACATGCAGAGCAGCAGGGCAAGAGTTAGACATCGGTACTGTCCCTGGGCACTCTACCCTCCTCCCTGGGCCCCCCTTCCCCACCCTTCACGCATGGCCGCAGGACTCACGTGTATTTCCGGGTGAAGCACCGAGAGATGTAGCCATGTTCATCTTGCCTCTCTTCGTGTTTGCCTGTGGGTGGGGACAGAGGGAGGTCAGCAGCTGCCCTCTGCTGTCTCAGAGGCCCCACAGCCTGCTAAGGGGTGGCTGGGTCTCCAAGCGCAGCATACAGATCCCAGTTTGCTAAGATGCCTATCTGGGATCTTAAAACTTTCCAGAAAGTTCGCTTCTGGGATTTGGGACTCGAGGGAAATTGAGGATGGGCTTGGCTTGGACCCAGACTGGCCACTAGTGCAGGCGCACTAAGAGCTGCGTACCCGCCCCCTCTGAGACCTGGATTAGGGGCAGGGATCGGAATCCTGGGATTTGCTAATTTGGGGATAGGGTCTGCGGGAAGGCGCATAGCTTTTTAACTTTTTTTTCCCTTTCTTTTCTGCTGGGGATGGAACCCAGGGCCTCGTGCATGCTAGGCGAGGCTCTACCACTGAGTCACATCCCCATCATCTCACTGTGCATTTACTTATAGACCACCCGGCTCCTAGGAGCCCCCTTCAGCCCGCATTCCGGAGCACTGGAAGGTGGCCAGGGTGTACGACTGAGTCTCCCAGCCTTTCCGGACTCCCTGGTTCTAGCCTCCCACCCACCCCTTCCAGGGACCAAGACACCCACCGGTGATCTCCACCACTCCGTCCTTGGTCTTCACCGTGAGCTCCTCAGGAGCAAAGTGATTGACGTCCAGGGACACCCGCCAGCGGTCGGCTGTCTGTCTGATCTCGGAGATGCCGCTGCTGAGTTGCCGGTTGAGTGCTCGACTGAAGGAGGGCGCGGCCACAGTCACGGCCGCTGGGCCCTCGGCGGCCGCAGCCGGCAGTGGGCGCAGGTAGCCGGGCCAGCCGGTGGCGCCGAACCACTGCGACCACTCGTCGGGCATCCGCGGTACCCCGAAGGCCTGCTCGAAGAGGCGGCTGTGAGCCGGGTACCAGTCCCGGAACGGTTCCCAGCTAGGGCTGCGCAGGAGCGAGAAAGGCACGCGGCGCTCGGTCATGTCGCTGGGCTTGGCTGGGTCGGGATGGGTATCCTAGATGCTCTGGGCTGAAGATCCGAGAAGTGCTGCGCTGGAGTCCCGGCCGCGCTTTTATGGGTGTCCAGCCGGGTATTTTTAGCAGGCGGTGCCTCAGGTCTCTATTAATGGCAATGACCGTCTAGGGGCCGTCCCTCCCTGCTGCATTCCTCCCGCTGGGCTTACAAAGGGGCCGGGCTGCTCCAGGAAGGTTCTGCCCCCATCTGGAAACTTCTCTTGCTGGAGAAAACAAATGACTGGAACACCGGTGTTTGGAGCTGGGCCCACAGCTGGGCACTCGGTAGCCTGGGCGTTCAAACGCTCCGGGCTGCAGGGCGGTGGCCCATGGCCAGTCCCATCTTTTTGTTGAGAATAAAGCCAGGAGAGGTTGAGTTGTTCGTGTCACAACTAGGAAGCCGCAGAGCCAGGTTTGAACCAGAGGGAGGCTTGTCAGAGACCCTCCTCCTCCTCCTCCCCCTCCCCCTCCCCCCTCCTCTTCTTTTGTATGTATGTGTACATGTGGGCACACACGTGATGGCACACCTGTGGTGGTCAGAGAACAGCTTGTGAGAATCAGTTCTCTTCTACCATGTATGTCCCGGAAATGGAACTCAGATTATCAGACTTGGGAAGAAGCACTCACTGGCTGAGCCATGTCTCTGACCCTGAAACATCTTTACTGTTACTACTAATATTTATTTATTTATTTTATTTTTTGTCTTTTTGAGATAGGGTCTCCCTGTAGCCCCAGCTGTAAATAAATAACTCAGATGGTCTCTCCCAACAGCCCCAGACTTAGTGTCTATAATAAAGATTTTACTTTTGAGGGAAGCCAAAGGTGCCCTGTGGGTACATGTCAGATGTTTACCAAAGTGTCCACAGTTCTTTTTTTTTTTTTTTTTTTTTTTTTTTTTTTGAGACAGGGTGTCACTAAATAGTCCTGGTTGCTCACTATGTAGATTAGGCTGGCCTCAAACTCAGAAATCTACTTGCTTCTGCCTCCTGAGTGCTGGAATTAAAGGCATCCATGCCTAGCCTGAGACTATTTTTTTGGTCTTTTTTTTTTTTTCATCTTTTTTGAGATAGGGTCTCCCTGTTGCCCCAGCTGTCCTGGAACTTACTATGTAGACCAGGCTGGCCTTGAACTCAGAGATCTGCCTGCCTTAGCCTCCCGAGTGCTGGAATTAAAGGCATGCGCCACCATGCCCGGCTGAGACTTTTTTTTTAAATCTTTTGAGAGAGGGTCTTCCTGTAGTCCCAGCTGGCCTGGAACTAATTATGTCGATCAGGCTGGCCTTGAACTCACAGAGATCTGCCTGCCTCTGCCTCCTGAGCGCTGGGTGCTGGGATTAAAGAGACTTATTTTTTTGAGTCAGGGTCTCTTACTGAACCTGGAGTTCACAGGCTGACTAGCCAGTGAGCCCCTCAGGATCTTCTTGTCTCTTAAGTTCCCCTACCCCTCCAGCACAACACTAGGTTTACAGGCACAGGCAGCCACAACCAGCTTTTATGTGGGTTGCTGGGGATACGAACTCAGCCCCCCATGCTTATACAACAAGTTCTTTACTCACTCAGCCATCTCCCCTACTCTTTGTAGCTTTTTCTTTCTTTTTTTTTTTTTTTTTTTTTTTTTTTTGTCTTTTGAGACATGGTCTTCCTGTAGTTCCATCTGGCCTGGAACTTATTACATAGACCATACAGATCCACGTCCCTGTGCCTCCTGAGTACTGGAATTGAAGGCATGTACCACCAAACCTGACCAAACCCTTATTTTTAGAGAGGGTCTCATTGTAGTCCAGGCTAGCCCTATGTGGTTCAAGATAACCTTTGACTCCTGATTCTCCTGCCTGTACTTCTCAAGTGCTGGAATTACAGATATTTGACACCACACATGGCAGGAATGTGACATTAAACAGCCTGCCGGGATCATTGGGAGTTGGTGCTCCTGGACTACCAGACTGCTTGCTGCTTGAGTTCCTTGGATTTTCTTGCCAGTGGATGAAGTTGTGAAAATCAGATTCTGTTTCTTACTCTCTCCATCTGCAGCATGGAGGTGATGAGGAATGGAATATGCTGACATCATTGGGTTGGCATAAGAATCCAGTGAGTTCATATAAGTGAAGAAGATAGCCCTGGGCCTGATGAGTCATAATTATTACTTACTGTTATCCACCTTGGTTGGACGGTTGGCAGAATTTAATCATCCCTCTCCCAAAAGAAGTGGCAGGCTGGTTTCAAAGTTGTCATGATCCTCTTGCCTGTGTCTCTCAATACTGAGCTTATAGATCTGTGATACCACACCTGGTCAAGATCCACAGATACTAAGTGCTTCATGAATATTAAGTGCTCTACCACTGAGCCACACCCCAGTCCCTCATTGGGGGATTCTGGGCAGGTGTTCTACCACTGAGCCACAGCCCAGCCCCTCACTGGAGGATGCTAGGCAGGTGCTCTACCACTGAGCCACAGCCCAGCCCCTCACTGGGGGATGCTAGGCAGGTGCTCTACCACTGAGCCACACCCCAGCCCCTCACTGGGGCTCTGCCACTGAGCCACAGCCCAGCCCCTCACTGGGGGATTCTAGGCAGGTGCTCTACCACTGAGCCACAGCCCAGCCCCTCACTGGGGGATGCTAGGCAGGTGCTCTACCACTGAGCCACACCCCAGCCCCTCACTGTGGGATTCTAGGCAGGTGCTCTACTGTTGAGCTACATTGCCATCACTCATTTTTTTAAAGGTATTTTTCTTTATTTTGGGACAGGGTCTCTCTCTATAGCCCTGACTGTCCTGAATCGTGCTATGTAGATCAGGCTGGCCTTGAACTTGCAGAGATCTGCTTGTTTCTGTCTCCTGAGTGCTAGAATTAAAATACCAACCTACTTTGCTTGTTATTACTGGAGGGCAAGAGGGGCCTGTGTGTGCCGTGGCATACATGTAGTGGTCAGAAGACAACTTTGTGGAGTTAAGTTTCCTCCTTCCTCCTTTACTTGGGTTCAGGGGACTGAACTCAGGTCATCAGACTTGCTCAGAAAGTGCTTTTACTGCTGAGTCATCCTC